CTATTATCAGAAGTGGAACCCAGTGCTCAGTATATAGCATGCTTTGTATTTAAATAAACTTTTCCTATAAATGGAATATTGGAGCAGTTAATCACAAATACATTTTAAAACTTATTAAACATTTTAGAGCAAGATGTTTTAAAATGCAAACATTTAGATATAATTATTTACGTATTCTTTAGCCATTATTATTCAAAGCTTAGTCTAACCCTGTCCTCCAAGTCTGAGTATAACTAACTCACTGTAAAGCCTTTCACATTTTCTAGGGCTTGTTTTTATGGCTTGAGATATCTAACCTGTTTTTATGTTAGCGAACATTACTAACCCCTAGTGGCACAGTGGTTAAGAATTCATCTGCTGACTAAAAGGTCGACAGTTCAAATCCACCATCCGCTCCTTGGAAACACTATGGGGCAGTTCTACTCTGTCCTGTAAGGTCACTATGAGTCAGGATTGACTTGACGGCAACCAGTTTGGTTTTGGTGTGTCAAGCACAGTGTTAGTGCATAATATATAATGCTTTATATAATCCTCATAACAACCACATAAAGTAGTAGTTGAATAATGTCTTTTATAAGTATCAGCACAAAGCTGGTTCCTATGAGGCAGAGGTTAAAGATGTCCCAAATGTCCAACTTCTCCAAACTGCTGTACCACTCCATCATCTCTGACATCAACTACTACTCCTCCCCTCAGTACTCTCCCTCTTGTCTTTGGGTTCCATAAGTCACTGCAGCCTCTCACAGAACTCACGAACCTTATCAAGGAAATGGCCCACACGGTTGTGGAGGCTGGCAAGTCCCAAATCTGTGGGTCAGGTGTAGGCTTCTCCCGATCCATGTGTCTGCAGGGGCTGACAAACCCAAACCGGCAGGTCAGACCACAGGCTTACAAGGCTGCAGAAGCTGGTGAATCAGGTCAGACGAGGCTGCTGGCCCATGGGGCTGCAGAAGCCAGTGAATCCCAGAATCAGCAGGTCAGACGGCAGGCCGCTGGCTCAAGAACCGGAGGTCAGACGATCATGAACTGGATGCAGGATCCAAAGTGAGAGAGAGAGAGCGAGCCCCTCCACAGTACCTATATATATATACATTGGATGCAGGCCACACCCAAGGGAAGGGCATAACTTGAGTAAGGGTGGGACTTCAGTCATGCCCGTCTGCAAGGCTGTGACTCAGGATATACCCCACATTAATCCTGCCTCATTAACATATAGAGGTTAGGATTTACAGCATATAAAATGGAGAATTATTAGGATAATTACATCAGATCACAAAATGGAGGATAACCACACAGTACTGGGAATCACGGCTTAGCCAAGTTTACACATAACCTCAACTGTCCCAGGTTCCATATACCTTATTTGCCTAGTCCCACTGTGTGTATTAGTCCCGAAGACCATGGCTAGAAGGGACATATTAAGTACTTCATCGTACCACAGGTAGTTGTTATTATTCTCAGTTTGTTTTCAGATAGATGAAACTGAGACTCAAAGAGATTAAATAGCTTCTGCAAGGTCATAGCTGAACTGGGATCATAGCAGTGATCTGTCTGACTACAGTGCCCATCATCTTTCACTTATACCACAGTACTCAAATCCATAAAATGCATCTTCCATTCAATCTTTGAGCTCTCTTTATTTGGAAAATTTTTAATTGTATAACAGTTAATAAGAGGAATAGCTTTATTAAGCCTTCTAGCTTTTCTTATCAGGTAAATTTTTACATTATTTGTCTTGCCCTACTTCCAAGTCTCTCTTGCTTCATATCAAAGCAGAAAAAAAAGAAAATTTACACTATGATATGATGATATTACTTTGTACAAACATCCATAAATAGTCTTATTTCAATCAGAAGAACATTGCACAGCCATTTTACTAATTTATAATAATTTTTCCTTCTGTTTCCTGCTGTTGGCCTTAGAAAGCAACATCATCTAAGTGAAAACTGGATCCCATGTGACCTTGGACAAATCACAGTGCCTTCTCTTTATTATCCTTATCTATAAAGATAATAACAGCTGTCCTGCTTACCTCACAGGGTTATCATGAGGATCAAATGAGATAGTGTATATGAAAGCACTTTGTAAACCGTAAATCTCTATTTGAAGTTAAGAGATTACAGTTGTGGTCTGTATACAGTTGGCCTCATTAACCAACATATACAGAATTGGATCCTTCTACTGCTCTTTGGTATATATAATGAGTTAAAGTATTAGACTTGATTTCAAAACCCATTCTGCTACTTATAAACTCTGTGGCAGGTTTAACCTCTAAACTTCAGCTGCCTTTCATATAGAAGGAGGCAAATATGACCTTCTTGTCTTGGGTGATAAAAGGAGTAAATGAAATAATATTTGTGCAGGCATCTAGCACAACACTGGAGGCTTCTGGAAGTGACAGTGGGTGTCAGGACCCTGTTGAAGATTATGCGTCCTCACCCCACTCTCCCTAAGGGCATGGCTCCTTGAAGCCTGGAAGTAATCACTATTATGCTCATTCTTTCATTTGATTCTCACAATATCCCTGTGAGATCAGCTAAGCAGGTGTCATTATATTCATTTTATATATGAGAAAACTAAGAATATTAGCTGTTATTGAAGCATGTAATATCTAAAACTAATGAATACTGTCTGATGTCCAAAAAAGACACCATTGGGAGTTTATTTCTATTTGAAAAGAATAACTTTGGTAGTATCTATTAAAACTAAGAATACACATACCTTATGACCTAGCAATTCAATTCTTAGATTTATATCAAACAGAAAAGAATATATATATTTTTTCCCACCAAAATACGTGTAATAGAATATTCATAGCAAAACTACTCAAATGTCCATCAAAAGTGAAATGGATGAATAAACTGTGGTATGGTCATACAGTGGAATCCTATACAGCACCGAGGATGAACGAACTACTGCTACACACAACAAAGATGAATCTTACAAACATAATATTAAATGAGAGAAGTCAGACACAAACTGTATGATTCCATTTATATAAAGTTTCATAAACAGGAAAAGCTAATCTTTGGTGATAGAAGTCAGGATGATAGTTACCCTTGGGTCAAGGGAGGGGGTGACTGGACTGGGGTACAAGGGAGGGTTCTGGAGTCTTGGATGCTGGTTATATGGATATGTTTACATCATGAAAATTCATCAAGATGTACACATTATTTGTACACTTTTCTGCATGTATGTTGTATTTCAGTAAAAAGTTAATTTGCCTTAGACAAAATAGCCATAGTCTCTAGCAAAGGCTTTACTGTGGCCTGCAAGGCTATATGAGGTTTGGCCCCTGCATACCCCCTCCACATCATTTCTTACCATTAACCCCCTTGCTCACTCTGCTCCAGCCACATGCCCTTCTTGCTGTTTTGCCAACACACTAAACTACTTTCCACCCCAAGACTTTGTACTTGCTGTTCCCTCTGCCTGGAACACTCTTGTCACATGGCTAGTTTCTTATCATACAGGTACCAGCTCAAATGTCACTTCCTCCAAAAGTCCTTCACTCAACACACCATCTGAAGTAGACTTCCCAGTCACTCTTTATCACATAGCGCTATTTTTTTCTTCATAACATCTATAACTGACTGAACTTATCTTGTTTATGTATTGATTTACTTGTTTATTATCTCCCTGAGGGCTAGGGTCATGTCTGCCATGTTCATCATTGAATCTAATGCCTGACACACAGATGCCCATATAAATGTTAGCATTGACTGAATGAATGAAGATTCTTGGGTGAACTATCTACTAGTCTCCAGCTGGGATTTATCCCACCAAGGGAGATAGCTGAGAAATTGTAAGCCATCTTGTTAAAAAGAAGCTTTGTTAGTACAACGTCTCTTGCCCACCTCAGCTTTGTGAGGAGAAAGCTCAGCTCTTTCCCCAATGCTTCCGTGAACTTTGGCCGATCAGGATTTATTCCATGGAATGTGCTTTATATAGAATCTCATATCCAAAGATGGGAGAAACTAGCTTGAACCAACTTCTGTCTCCTACCCCCAGAAGTTTCAAAGAAAAGTAAGATATGCTCAACAGACAGTAGAGCTCCTCTCTCTAATCTTATATTCCTGAGAACATAGACTTACTATTCCCATCTCATCTCTGGAACAAGTAGTGAACATCGTTGTTGTTGTTAGGTGCCGTTGAGTTGATTTCAACTCACAGTGACCCCAAGTGACAAAGTAGAACTTCCCCATAGGGTTTTCTAGACTCTAATCTTTATGGGATATCTCCAGGTCTTTCTCCCATGGAGCCACTGGATGGGTTCGAACTGCCAACCTTTCAGTTAGCAGATGAGCGTTTAATTGTTATGCCACCAAGGCTCATATAAAACTTTATGTCTTAGTTATCTAGTGCTGCTATAACAGAAATACCACAAGTGGATAGCTTTAACAAACAATTTATTCTGTCACAGTTTAGGAGGCTAAAAAAGCCAAAAAAACAAACCCATTGCCATTGAGTCAGTTCTGACCCATAGTGACCCTGTAGGACAGAGTAGAACTGCTCCATAGGATTTCCAGGGAGTGGCTGGTGGATATGAACTGCTGACCATTTGGTTAGCAGCTGTATCACTTAACCACTGTGGAAGTCTGAATTCAGGGTGCCAGCTCTAGGTGAAGGTTTTCACTCTCTGTCAGCTCTGGAGGAAGGTCCTTGTCTCCTCAGCCTGTTTCCTGGTTCCTTGGAGATCTTCATGTGGCTTGGTATCTCTCTTCCCCCATCTCTGCTTTCTAGTTTGCTTGTTTAATCTCTTTTATATCTCAAAAGAAATTGACTCAAGATACACCCTACACCAATCCTGCCTCATTAACATAACAAAGACAACTCATTCCCAAATGGGATTATAACCACAGGCATAGAGGTTAGGTTTTACAACACATATTTTAGGGGGACACGATTCAATCCATAACACTTCATATAAAATTGTTTAATAAACAACAGATATCCTTAACATGTTTGAGAGATCTTTCTTTTTCGTGATTCCATCTTAGGTACAACAACTATGACCGGGCTGTCATCAATACCATACCTTATGATGTCGTCCATCGTTGGTATACAGCACACCGAGCTCTAACAATAGAGTTGAGGAGACCAGAGAATGAGCTTTGGGTCAAACTAAAGCCTGGCAGGGTGGGTTCCAAATTCTAAAGAGTTAAGTAAAGTTTGTTATACTTAAGCGGTGAAGAACAGGTACCTATGTAATATGTGAGACACAATGTTGTAAAGGAAAAAGAGAAAAGAGTCTTAGGTGTTGGTCCTGCTCCTGCCATTCACTCACTGAATGACCTGGAAGCAGCCCCACCCCCTGTCTAGACATCAGTGATCCTATGTATGATGAGGGGGTTGAACTAGATAATCTCTAAGGGTCCTTCCACAGTTTTGGCGCTTCATGATTCTATTGCTGGATTGGTTTTTGTTTTTTGTTTTTTTTGCTGTGGTTTCGTTTTTATTTTTTGCTCTTGATATTTCCTCAAGGTGATGAAGAATATCTTCAGCTTAGCATAAAGGCATTATAAAATATTTCCGCCTTGGAGAAAGTACAGAATAAGAATTAAAGAGGAAAAAAGAAAAAGAAAGAAACCAGTTACCTGATTTGCTTTGATAGGAGAACAATTACCCAAGAAACAGATTCCTCGAGTGCAGGGCCCATTATCTACTAATGCCTTTGTAACTTCCATTTAGCCTACTACAGGGTTCTACACACTCTGGTTTCCAAATGTCTGTGTAATTTCAAAAAAAAAAAAAAAAAAAAAAACCTCATTGAGTATAAGCAGAGGGCAACCTAAAGCTTTTCTTTAAAATTATCTCTTCTGATTTAGGGTGCCTTCGGTATGCGCCTGTTCTGATGGCGTTTTCTCTCTTTTTTTTGCCCATTCACAGGTCCTATTTATAGACAACTGGCGTGTCCTACATGGCAGGGAATCCTTCACTGGTTACCGCCAACTCTGTGGCTGCTACTTAACAAGAGATGATGTATTAAATACTGCTCGTTTCTTAGGACTTCAGGCTTAAAATTGACAGCATTGAGATTATGAACACACCTGGTACTCTGCCTACCAGAATTTCATATCAGCAGAATAATATTGTGTCAATTCAGATTGTCTTCTTATCCTATCCCACAAAACAGAAGTTTTCCTCTTTCTCTAGTAAGAGTAAACTGTTCGAGAGGGGCCTCGGAGTTATCTGATGTCAGCCATCTAGTAGGGTAGCTCTCTTCCCCAAGTTATAACATAGACCCACTTGTCTTTTAAATCTTTTGATATAATTTTGGTCAATTTATTTAAGAAATGTAATACTAATATTGATGGCGAAGGAATAATAGTCCTTAGGTAAAATATTGTTCCAACTACGTCACTTAGAAAACAAAATCTTGATAAAACAGTACTTTGCAAACTTTTTGGTCTCAGGACACCTTAACACTCTTAAAAGTTATCGAAGACCCCAAAGAGTTCTTGTGCATGAGTATATCTATTGTATTCTAGTACTAATTTTATTAAAAATTAAGACTGAGAAATGTTTAAAACTCAAGAACACCCATGCACACATTTCTCAACTGTCAGAGCAACAGCATCATCACATATCATGTAGCCTCTGGAAAAGTCCACTGTATACTTGTGAGGGAATGAATGTGAAAAGGCAAATATCATCTTAGTGATATTATAAAAATAGTTCTGAACTCAAGGTCCTGATAAAAAAAGTCTCAGGGAAAATTCCAGGTGTCTTTAGACCACACTCTGAAAACAATCAGTGGGCTAGAAGATACCTTAGGACAGTCCCTTTACAAAAGCCTATGGATTAAAAGGTTTACCTGAAATTCTAGATTTTTCACTGCAGTGTAGAGACACTAAGAATTGCTTGGTAGCACAAGTTCAGTGATAAAGTGGGAATGGAATTCAAATATAATGTTTTATTGAGTAACTTCTCAGAACACGGGTTACTTCCATCCAAATAACCTCTCAAGAAATGAAACAAGGAAATCACAGTGGTTGCTGTGGCATTAACCCATCCGTTCTGTAATTCTATGAGGGATAATTACAGAAAGATATCAAAGACTTCTGAGGCTCTGTATGATAGTATATACACATGCACACACTGTATATACACATATGTATACATACACACACATACATACACAAACATAAAAGAGAAAGTACGGAGGGTTATTCTGTAAGATTGTTCAGGAAACTCATCGTGATAGATGATGTTCCTCCAGAAAACTGGAGCTTATTCTCCAGACTTGTGTTTTGGCAATTTGATGAAATTTTGGGTGCAATCTGTTTTCCTCTGTTTCTGCTGACCTTTTTTTTTTATTTTTTATACATGTTAATTGCCAAGATTTGGTTAGGGCAAGTTAAACACCTTTCTGCTTTTTTTCTTTTAATGGTTCCCTTATCATTATATACAGAGAGATAGGGAGTCACCAAGCAAAGTCAGGATGGTAACAGAGACTAAAGTCTAATCTCATATTTTCAGGGAGTTCCTAGTTCACATTGATAGTTTATGCATTATTTTATTGACCTGTTGAACATTTTATGTTCCCAAAGTATTTCTGCATTTTATTTGCACTATATAGGAATCTTTAGGGGTCTTCCATGAAATTCGTTAGATGAAAGAATTAATGATTAAGGTCAAGTATTAAAGAGCATACTCTACCAATCAGAACAGAACTAAAAACATTTTACCATGCAATCTTTTCTCTCTTCTATTATGACTCTTAAAATAAGTTTCCATTCATTTTCATCAGGATATTTGCCCTTTTTAGAATTTTGCCTAAATTATCCTTGAAGATTACACTATAAGTGAGGTCAGCATTGATTTATGACAAGCAAAGGACATATCCATGGCTCTTGAGAGATAGGTACACAAATCAACCTTTTCCCCTTGCTGAAGGACTCCTCTTACCTCCTGTCTCTCCTGGAATCTTGATTCATTATTTCACCCTCCTTTTCATAAATTTTAAATCAACCCGTTTCTGAAATATCTTTCCCTTGAGAGGAAGAAATAGGGAAGGGAAGTATTTTAGTGCCAACCATGCTGCATTGAAAACTTTCTTTTTTACATCTCTTTCAGGTGTCCCTGAGACTATAAGCAGGGATCTTGTCTACTAAGCTCAACTATAAAGTCACCTTTACCTTTTTCTATGGTGGGATGGGATCATAAAATCAGGAGCACAGACCTAACACAGCGCCTTAAAAATAGTAGTTTCACGATACAAAATTTGCTCATAAAAGAATGAAGTAATAAATTCTTTTCATACCAACTCACGAGAAATTACTACATTGTCTATAAGTGTATCCTTTCGTGTTTGGCAGTTAAGTGGCAATGAATTGTGTTCACCTCCATGTAGAGTGATCAACCATCCTAGTTTACTCATGACTGAGGGACTTCCTGGGCTGTGGAGCTTCCAGCTTTAAAACAGAGAAAATTGCAGGCAAACTAAGACAGCTGATCACCGTACCTTCATGCTGCTAGCTATGGATTTTTCTTCAGTTTCCATCACTGGTTCCCAGTTCTGTTAAAGTGCTTGTGAGTCACAGGCTGTGTAGCTGCCATGATTTGAATTATGTCCCCCAAAAAACGTGTGTATCAATTTGGCTAGGCCATGATTCCTGGTACTGTGTGATATTCCTGTATGTTGTAAACCTGCCTCTATGATGTTAATGAGGGAGGATGGGTGGCAGTTGTGTTAGTAAGGCAGGACCTGATCTACAGGACTGGATTGTGTCCTGAGGCAATCTCTTGAGATATAAAAGACAGAAGTGAGCAGTGAGACAGGGGGACCCCATACCGTCAAGAAAGCAGTGCCGGGAGCAGAGCGCATCCTTTGGACTGGGGTCCCTGCACCGAGAAGCTCCTAGTCTGGGGGAACATTGATGAGAAGGCCGACAGAGAGAAAAAGCCTTCCCCTGGAGCTGACGCCCTGAATTTGGACTTTTAGCCTACTTTGACTGTGAGGAAATAAATTTCTCTTCATTAAAACCGTCCACTTGTGGTATTTCTGTTGTAGCAGCACTAGATGACTAAGACAGTAGCCTATGATGAAAAGGAAAAAATATGTATGAAATATGTTTGGTTGTTGCCAAAGTGTTTCCCCCAGACCAGCATCATTTGAGAATTTGTTACAAATGCACATTCTTTGGTCCCACCCCAGACCAAGTTCAGTGATAAAGTGAGAATGGAATATAAATATAGTGTTTTATTAAGTAACTTCTCAGAACAGGGTTACTTTCATCCAAATAATCTGTCAAGAAATTAAACTAGAAAGTCACAACAGCTGGAATTAACCTGTCAGTTCTGTAATTCTGTGAGGGATAATTGATCAGAAACTCTGGGAGTGAAGCCCAGCAGTCTGTTTTAGCATCACTCCAGGGGATTCTGAAGCACACCAAAATCTGAGAACCACTGAAGGCAAGAGCTCTGTTGTTGAGATCTGGGCCCAGTTATACCACTGACTCACTAAATTACCTGAGGCATGTCCCTCTTGTATTATGCGGTTCACTTTGCTGTTTTGTGAAATTGAGGCCTTGGACTAGCCAGCGTTTAAAAACTGTGCCACTCTAGTTGTATGGCCTTGGTCAGTTTGTTTGATCTCTTGTTGCTTCAGTTTCTCATATGGATACAGTAAGGATAATACCTACCTCACAGCGTTTTCTAACTATTTTGAGAGTATTAAATAAGATGTTTGAAGCACATACTGATGGTCAGTAATAGTATATAACTCTTAAAAAGTGCTTTCTATGCCAGGCACTGTTCTAAGGGCTTTTAATCCCCATAGCAACCTTGTCCCCATTTTACAAATGAGGAAAGAGAGAAAATGAGAGATTAATATGGCTTGCCAAACATCACACAGCAAATTGTCAGAGCTTGGATTCGAATCCCAGAAATGTGGCCCCAGGAAAAATGCTTTTTACTAGTATGTCATATTGCTCAAATGTTCATTACCTCCCACTTTCCCAATTTAGAAAATACTATAAAGTTTCTTCTGAGTACGTCCCTCTCTGTGATCCTCAGGGTACTTTACAGTAGGTGAGTGTATAGAAAATAGAGCTGGAAAGGTAGGGTCGGCCAGATTACAAAGAAATAGGGAAAAACCAATATTCAAAGAGATACTGGCTGAAAAATTCCCAGATTTGATCAAAGACATGACTCCTCGTATTCTGAGAGGAGAAGCCACAAGCAGACTCAGTAAAACCAAATCAGGGGGAAACTGCAGGCCAACAAAGACAAGGGGAAGATCTTAAAAGCAACTAGAAAGCGAAGACACATTATATCAAATAAATAATAAACTGACAGCAGACTTCTTACCAGCCACAACGAAAGTAGAATCATATCATGAATGCACTCAGAAAAAAGAATAATGTTTACCAGGAATGTTGTACCCAACTAAACTGTCATTCAAAAATGAGGGCAAACTCAAAATATTCTTGCAAAGAGATCGAGAGAGTTGACCACTCACTAAAAGAACAACTTAAAAATGCTCCTCCAGTATAAGTAAATTGAACAGAGAAGAAAGAAGCAAGATGTAGCAGGCACACGGTGAGCAAAGAAATTAGTAACCATGGTCCTGAGTCTAAAAAAAACAATAGACTGTATAAAACAGTACAACCAACAAAACGAACCAAAACATTGGACATCATTCACTTGTAAGACAAGATTCTTGTATTATTTGGGATGAAATTGGACATGATGATTAACTTAAGACTTGATAAAATGAAGGATTCATGTTAAAAATTTAAGGTCCTGGATAAACTTAGATCCATTAGTGTCACACATATGAAAGATTAAAAATCTTAAATTTGTCTAAAACTCATTAACTCCAAGTTATCCAGAACATATCCCAGGGGTTGGGGATAACCCTTTGATACCAAATTAGAAATTCCTTTGTAAAAAGATGGTAGAGTGAAGAAAGATCAAAGAATTTCCTGTGCCCAATAATGCTTAATTAAATGAATAAGAAATGGTAAAATGCAAAAGGGGGGAGGGAGAAAGGAGGGAAGGAAGGAAGGAAGCTTCCAAGGAATAAAAAAGATTCTAGTGGGGAGAGTGGTTTAGCATGCTTCTTATCCTTCCACGGCCCCCAGAAGGAATACTGAGAAAAAACTGTGAGTGAAATCCCGGGAATCGTCTCTAATACCCTCTTAACATGAAGAGACGTGGACTGAGGGAGTAAGTAGAAAAAAATCAAGTATATACCTATGTGAATAAAAAACCAAACTTGTTGCCCTCAAGTCAATTTCGACTCACGGTGACCCTATAGGACAGAGTAGAGAGCAGAACAGCCCCCTAGGGTCTCCAAGGCTGTAACCTTAGCGGAAGCAGGCTGCCTCATCTTTCTCCCGCCTCCCACAGAGCAGCTGGTGGGTTGAAACCTCTGACCTTTTGGTTAGCAGCTGAGCTCATCCTCGTCGTCGTGATGATGGAAGGTCCTCCCGTCGCCAGAGGCGGACCCGCTCTCGCAGCGCCCTAGGCGAGCTGACCTTCTCCGTGGGCCACGTAGAGCGCCTGCTGCGGGAGGGCCACTACGCTCAGCGCCTGAGTTCGTCGGCTCCCGTGTTTCTGGCGGCCATCCTCGAGTACCTGACGGCCAAGGTCCTGGAGCTGGCGGGCATGGAGGCCCAGAAGAGCGGCAGGAGGCGCATCACACCCGAGCTGGTGGACATGGCCGTGCACAACAACGCTCTGCTCAGCGGCTTCTTCGGGACCACCACCATCTCCCAGGTGGCCCCGGCCCGCGAGTGAGGGGCCCGGGCACAGCCTGCGCTGCCCACAGCCCACACCCCACACAGCCCACACAACCCACACAGCGCACAGCGCACAGCCCACAGCCGGGGAGGCCCGGGTTCGGCCTCCTGGGCAGCCTCTGTTCAGTTCTTTAATAAAGTGTTTTCCGAAACCTTGGGTGTGCGTGAGTCCCTTTGTGGCCGGCCGGTGGCCGTGAGGC